CGCGCATTACCGATCTCCATTGGCGTTGGCCGCTCGTCCACGCGCTGTCGCGCCTGTGAATACGAGCGACGGTGCGACGACTGGTAGCTTGGTCGGCCAGGCTGCCGCGAAGATGCAAGGTGCGTGCGATCGTACATCAACGCGAACGAGATGGCGTCTGTTGTAGTCTGGAACTGCCTCAACTTCACTTCTTGCTTGATGTCCGTCAGCAGGCCTTTCTGATAGTGCTTCACCTTGTCGATATCTGACATGTCTTCCACTTTGCAGATGATGCCTCTGAAAGCCGTGACATAGTCCTCGAGACACGAGAAGTTCTTTTGGTGCAGTCGGAGTAGCTGATCGCGTAGATGTTCTTGCCGATCCAGAACTGTGAACTCGCTAGTCAGCAGATCCTCGAACTGCGTAATCAAGCGCAGGAAGTGCCCATCATGCGAGACATACTCGCGATACCACACCGCTGCAGGCCCCTTAAGGTTGGCCACCAAGAGAGAAAGCAGTCGTTGTTCAGGCGCTACCGACCCGTACTTGATGTTCTTGGACTCAAAATAGAGCTTGGCGCTGAGCATGTAGTCACCGACGTCGTCGTTCTTGGTTCCGGAAACCTTGGGCATGGTGATACCTTCCGCTCGATATTCACGCGTGTCGAGGGCCGGAGACTCGGTTGTCTGCTGCTGCTGCAAGGTCGCAGCCATCTGGCGTTGGAGATCGGCGGTCTGCGCCATGAACTGCTGCTGCTGCTGCTCATGCATCATCGCTGCAAGAGACGCAAACATATGCTGGAGGCTGTCGCCATGCTGCAGGGCTTGGTCGCCCATGGTTGCGCCTACTCCGGAACGTCGTCACTGGATGGCTGGGGCGCGCAAGCTCCTCAGCCAAATCAATCAATGCGAGAACGAAGTCGCAGGCACTCACTGGAGCGCTGCTTCAGTACCCCTTTCCCCTTTCCTGCCCCCCCCCCCCCCCCGAAACCCCGATCCTTTCTTAACGCCCCTAACGACGCCAACTAGGAAGACCGGGTGCTAGGTACCTGGTACTCCTGGTAAGAGCAAACGCCGACTGAGTGGAGTCGGCGAAGAACCTCAAGGAAGTGGGGCACGGCAATGTGGATGTTGATTGGTCGCTGCGGGCCAATAAGCGATCGACACGAAGATTCGAGCGACAGTCTGATGTGAGCAGATGGAGCCTCCTCCCCCAGAAAAAGAAAGTGGCGGCGAAACGGGAGCAGATCGAGCGGAAAGGTCAGACAAGGAGGTAACACGCGCGGCGGGACAGAAGAAGGCGGGGACATCCACGAGTGGTGTACACGGAGCCTGGCGGGAGGTCGGATTGGATGAGCGGACTGGAACTGGAACTGAAGCTGGGCCGGAGGAAGCATGCGTTGAACCGAAAGTGCTACCAAATGTAAGGTTTGCTCTAAAAGTGGGTGTTTGGCGGTGGATTGAAAACTGATCTTGTTTGTCTGGTTTGTTGTACCTACGGGCGCTCTAGGGTGCGCGCTCTTGAACATGAAGCGGTTGGCTGTGGCTCGCCGCAACGAGCGTACGCACGACCGTCGTGGGTATGCAGACGACGACTGCAGGCTCTTTGAGCGGTCTCAACTAATGATGTGGTACTGTTCTGCCTTTGTGCTAGCGGATCATGCCTTCTGGTTCGTTGATTATATAAATTGTATACATTGTATTTTTATATTCGAGTTGGCGCTGTCATCGTCCTTGCGCAGCCCAAGTTCTCGCTCCACGTCCGCATAACACACATGAATAGTTTTAAGGCCAGTAGCTAGGGAACGTCAATAACCCGTTTTTACTGCTATTTCGTAGCCTAGGCTATAGGATATACGCTTGAATGCAAAACCATAAAAGGCATTTTGATTTTGTCAAGTTTACTCCATATAGAAACCGACTCGGTGGAGGTCGGAAAATACAATTCTTAATAATATCTGGACCACTTAACGAACAACTCTCTGTAAAAAAAACTAAATGTGATGTGGGACACACGGCGGTTATGGTTGGCTATAACCACGTCCTAACCGTTGGGATTAGCTAAAACTTTTATGGATCGAAAGAAATCGCTTGAAAAACTTATACTTTATCGAGACATAATGAGACAACCAGGAGGCCCACATGATTGACGCTTACAC